CCCAGCAGGTTAATCTGTGGGGGAGGGGAGGGGTGGGAGTCAGATCAAGGCCCCTGCAGTGAGTGACTGACCATGCAGCCCAGCCAAAATCAGGGAAAGGCAAGTAAGGCCCCAGCCTGGCCAAGTGGGAGGATTTGAACTTAGGGGGCTCATCCAGGGGTGCAGCAGGGGCTCTCCCCCATCTCTGTGGGAGTGGACGTGGTAGTGCCTACCTGTGCTCAGGGTGCAGAGGGCAGCCCACAGCAGCAGCTGCCTCATCCCAAGCACAGGTTGGGGGGGGCATGGACCCCCAGGGGCTCCTCCGGGCTACATCCAGCAGCAGGAGTCCCCTCCTCCCATGTGCCCCTGGATGGCCAGATCTTCCCAGACCCAGCCGGGCATAGGACAATCCCACTTCTGTGCTATGCTGAGCCTTGCCCACCTGGTGCCCAGATGAACATGGCGTCGGGCCCTCGCCTGGCCAGATCTGGGACTCTCCATGGTCTAGGCATGCATGGGTGGGGGCTTCTTCTGCTGGGGGCAGCTTGGTGGAGGCGCCGGGGGCTCATGCTCCTCCACCTGTGCTCAGGACAAGGCAGCTGCTGCTGTGGCTTCCCGCTGTGACTGGAGTAGAAGTGGGGGATGGGAACAGATCTCTGGGGCCTCCACTGGGCTGTGCCCAACAGCAGGAGCCCCCCCACCCCCACATAGCCCTAGACAGTGGAGAGCCCCAGATGTGACCAGGCTGGGGCCCAATCCCACTTCTGTGCCATGGCTGTGCTGAGCCACACCCGCCTGGCAGCCAGACGAATGTGGTGTCGGGCCTTGGCCTGGCCAGGTCTGGGACTCTCCGCTGAGGGGTATGACTGCAGCAAGCCCTAGTCTACCATCTGCCCCAAGGAGAGACAGACAGTTAGTATTTCAGCTGCTGGTGCACGAATATAATTACTATTGTGAGTATGTTAGGGAGGGTACAAACGAATCTCTACCAACCTAATGCTCTGTGAAGCCTGATTTCCTATGATGAAAAACCACTTTTATAGTACTGATATTGGGGAGTATTATCATCACTTCTACTCCTTTCAGCTGAAGTGCAGGACAGCACAGCATCTGACACCTAATAT